TAATAGAATTCTGAGATTTTAACGAAAAAATGTCAAAAATCAATTTGAAAGCATCTATCAAACAAAAAGCATCATCATTATCTATATTATATATAATAAAATGGAAAACCCTCTTTATTTAGGCTATATAAATACCGTAAAGGAAATAAAAGATTAACAAGGAAGAACTGTGAAAATATTAAAATTTAGGTTTGCTCAAAAATATATCCCATTTGTTTATTTAGAATGGGTTAAAGGTCCTTGTTAAAAATCTTTTAGAAAAGGAAGATGGTACAGATTTAGAAATTATGAAATTGAACAGAATGTGTTAAGACGTATTCCTTTTTAGAATAATACTTATAGATTACTAAGTAAACTTGATTAAGAAGAATTGAATATTTAACCTATGAGAGAACCATATTCAAATATTTTAGGAATTATAGAAGATGTTGGTGAACTTAACTATCATTAAAGGTCTTATCCTTAAAAGATAATTAGAATTTTAAAAGAAGATGGAATAACTCAAGTTGAATTAAAACTAAAAAATTAGTTTGCAATTAAGAAAGAAGAATAATTCAAAGTTGGCAACATAATATATATTCAAGAATGTAAATATTAAGGACTAAACAATAATTAAATGGATTGGTATTCAACATTAACGAAAAACACTAAAATTTAATTCGATCTAGATGTTATTAGATAACATGTCCCATATGAAAGACTTGAATCTATTAAGAAACTTAACAAAATGTAGATTATCTAAGAAGAAATAACTGGATAAATACTGTGATTGTTTTAATTATAAATTTTCATTATCATATTCTTTAATATATTTTATTCTTATAATTATCTTTTTATAATCTACATGTTTATTTTAATTAAATAATAAAAGAATGTAATATTGTCATAATATCATTAATTTAATAATTATTTATGAAAAATTTTCATCTGTTATTAGTATTAATTTCAACACTTTAAATTTCATATTCTGAAAAGATAAGAGTTTCATTATATAGTATTAATAGTTGCTTAATATTTTAGTTGAATCACTTTGCCCTGATACTACAAGATTTATTTAATCTTCATTATTGAAAGCATTAAAAACACCATCGTTTGATGAATTGGTTGAACTGAGATTTATTCCATATGGAAAGGCGTCATAAAATTAATAAAGTAATGNAACAAAAAGCATCATCATTATCTATATTATATATAATAAAATGGAAAACCCTCTTTATTTAGGCTATATAAATACCGTAAAGGAAATAAAAGATTAACAAGGAAGAACTGTGAAAATATTAAAATTTAGGTTTGCTCAAAAATATATCCCATTTGTTTATTTAGAATGGGTTAAAGGTCCTTGTTAAAAATCTTTTAGAAAAGGAAGATGGTACAGATTTAGAAATTATGAAATTGAACAGAATGTGTTAAGACGTATTCCTTTTTAGAATAATACTTATAGATTACTAAGTAAACTTGATTAAGAAGAATTGAATATTTAACCTATGAGAGAACCATATTCAAATATTTTAGGAATTATAGAAGATGTTGGTGAACTTAACTATCATTAAAGGTCTTATCCTTAAAAGATAATTAGAATTTTAAAAGAAGATGGAATAACTCAAGTTGAATTAAAACTAAAAAATTAGTTTGCAATTAAGAAAGAAGAATAATTCAAAGTTGGCAACATAATATATATTCAAGAATGTAAATATTAAGGACTAAACAATAATTAAATGGATTGGTATTCAACATTAACGAAAAACACTAAAATTTAATTCGATCTAGATGTTATTAGATAACATGTCCCATATGAAAGACTTGAATCTATTAAGAAACTTAACAAAATGTAGATTATCTAAGAAGAAATAACTGGATAAATACTGTGATTGTTTTAATTATAAATTTTCATTATCATATTCTTTAATATATTTTATTCTTATAATTATCTTTTTATAATCTACATGTTTATTTTAATTAAATAATAAAAGAATGTAATATTGTCATAATATCATTAATTTAATAATTATTTATGAAAAATTTTCATCTGTTATTAGTATTAATTTCAACACTTTAAATTTCATATTCTGAAAAGATAAGAGTTTCATTATATAGTATTAATAGTTGCTTAATATTTTAGTTGAATCACTTTGCCCTGATACTACAAGATTTATTTAATCTTCATTATTGAAAGCATTAAAAACACCATCGTTTGATGAATTGGTTGAACTGAGATTTATTCCATATGGAAAGGCGTCATAAAATTAATAAAGTAATGATAGTTAAATTTGATTGAATAATCAATATTTTCTAAATATTTTTGATTTCATATTATTTTCCTTTTTGAACTCTTTATTTTAGAAATATATTTCCTTTTGCTTTTAGATTGATTAAGAAAGAAATTAATCATTACCTAGAAAGAGCAAAAATATATTTTAGGACTTTTAACTTATTTTGGTTTTTTATTTAGTATAGGATTTTAGACATTTTTCTCATTTCTTGAAAAAAGTTATTAATCATTCTTTCTGAGATGGATAAAATTATTTTAATTAAGTTAACTAAAATATATTTTGACAATAATTAATTTTATAATTAAATGTGGAATGATATAGTAACTATACATAATATAAAACCTAGATAAAAATTAGAAATCTAGTTAGAAATTATTTCTCTTTATAGAACAGTTTTATCATTAATTAAAATAGATTATTAAATTAGTACATCAATTTACTATTGAATAGAATAAATTATAAAGATAAATACTAATGAAAATGAATTAGTTTATTAATTGATATTAAATAGTGTTTTAATAAAATTAATGAGAAAGTAATATAAATAAATAAACTAAATAAAATATAAGATTAGATGTCTAACTAAAATGACACACATTCAAATATAGAAGAACATATTCTTTAATTATATGAGATTCATGATTTTAAAGGGAAAGGAGCATATGGGATAGTGTGGAAAGCTACCGATAAATAAACAAAACAACAAGTAGCACTAAAAAAGGTTTGTAATAATGATATTTTGATAATAGGTGTTTGATGCATTTTAAAACTCTACAGATGCTTAGAGAACATTTAGGGAAGTGTGTTTTTTATAATAATTAACGGATCATGAAAATATTGTTAAATTATTAAAAGTAATACCAGCGGAGAACTAAAAGGATTTATATATGGTTTTTGAATATATGGAGACTGATTTACATAAAGTGATTAGAGCAGGATTATTAAAACCTTTACATATGCAATATATAATTTATTAGTTGTTAAAATGCTTGAAATTTATTCATTCAGGAGAGTTGATTCATAGAGATTTAAAACCTTCAAATTTATTGATAGATTCTGATTGTAAAGTGAAAGTGGCAGATTTTGGATTAGCAAGAAGTGTAGCTTAATCAGAAAATTATAATGGTAATTATTATTATAAATATAATATAAGAATTACCAATAATGACAGAATATGTAGCAACTAGATGGTATAGAGCACCTGAAATTTTATTAGGTTCTCATTCTTATGCAAAATCAGTTGATATGTGGAGTGTTGGATGTATTCTAGGAGAAATGATTATAGGAAAAGCAATATTTTCAGGAGCATCTACATTAAATTAAATTGAAAAGATAATTGAATTAATTGGAAGGCCAAAATAAGAAGATTTAGAGTAAATGAATGCATAATTAGCATTATAAATTTTAGATAGTATATAAATCTAGAAAAGAAAGAGTTTTGCTGGATTCTTTCCAAATGCAACTCCTGATTTTATAGATTTTATTAGAAAATGTCTTGATTGGAATCCATTAAAAAGAATGACAATTGAAGAAGCTTTAAAACATTCAATAATGATTCAATTCGTAAATACTGAAGAAGAAAAAACTTTAAAATCAAATATTAAAATTCCTTTTAATGAAAATAAAAAATTAACTATCAAAGATTATAGAGATAAAATTACTCTGAATACTGAGTAAATTCTATAAGAAATTTAGTAAAATATTTTGGAAAAAAATCAAAATAAATAACATATATCAACTCCTTAAAGCTTTTCAACCTATATATCACACTATGATAATAAAAATAAACAAAATTTATCTGCTCATCAATTCTCTCAACCTGTGGAAAAGCCTAAGAAAATTGATTCATCTTATAAATAAGATGGAACTAGTGATAATAAAAATAATGTATAATATATTCAAAAGAAATCAGATCATTCTCCATAACCAAAATAAACTATGCCATCAAATCCTTAAAATTTTTCTAATGGATTAATAAAACAAAAATTCTCATCAAATTAAAATCAAAATTAAATTAATAATTCGTGTCTAAAAAAAACTTAAGCCAATATTATTAATCGACCTTATTTTGAAATGAATAAGAGTCCAGATGTAAAAAAGAAAACAGAAAATAGTATAACTAATGTTACAAAATCTTATTCTTTTCATGGTGAACCTTATGATAATAAAATTATTAATTCAAGTTTTATTAATTAAAATAAAATAGAGAACAAATCAAATACATTTAATAATTAGGCTAAACCAACTCAAGTATAATAATCATCTAATTATACAACTGCTTAAAGCTTTTCTTTATAAAAAGAGTAACTTAAATAAAAAGAATAAATTATGATTAATTAAGCATAAAGAAGTAAATCTTTTGAAAAATCACCTCTTGATAACAATAACAATCCAATCAGTCCTTATCAAAGATTAAAAACAGAAGTTTGCAAACCAAAATTTATTCCATAAAGTATTTTCAATATTTTTATTATTAAGACAATCTGAATAATAACATTATTTAAGTATAAAAGCTTTTATAAAAGTGTTGTTAAGTATAAAATTATTAATCACACAAAAAGACAACTAGTTTTATTGAACCATCAAAATTATAGACTCAATAAATGATAAATTTTAACTATTTTGATGCAAGAAACACCAAATTTATGTGATTACTATTTATTTAATAATTTTTCGATAGTATGATCAAAAAATTACCGCATTTCTTATATATCAATTTTAAATATTATTTTTTTTAAAAAGGAGAATTTTCATGTATCTAGGTTTATTTACATAATTACATAAAAGTTATATTTTTTATAATTAATAATAAATGAAAACAAAATTTTAAATTAAATATTATATCAATACTCAAATTTAATCAGATTTTTGAAAAGGGTTTTTTAATTAAGGAAATTGCATATTTTATAGTCTATTATAGAAATAAATTTACTAATTAGTAATTGAAGGACTGGATTTATAAAAATATTAATGTTTTAAACAAGAATAAGCTAGAGGTCTTTTGGATTATTAAGAAAGCATAGATTAAAGTAAATCTAATATTATAGGACATGTGATTGATTTATTTAGTATATATGCGTTCTGTGAATTTAAATATTTTATTTATTATTATTCTTAAAATTATGGATACAATCTTGTTCCAGTTAATAAAATATGAAAAATGCATCCAACGCTATAAATATCACTTGAGTAGTCATAATATTAACCATTCAAAATTTCAGGTGCAATATATCCCAAAGTCCCACATTTAATTGACTTCAATTTTTAATCATTAATAAATGTAGCACATCCAAAATCAATTATTTTTAAAGATTTAATATTATTTAATTCTGTAAACATTATATTGTCTAATTTAATGTCTCGATGAATTATTTCCATTTTTGAAAGATGTATTAAGCCCTTTAAAATTTATTTCATAATAATTTTAATTTCCCAATCTGCTAATTAAAATTATTTTTTAACTAAAAATTCATAGAGTGTTCCACCTGCTTGGATTTCAAAAACAAGAGCAACAAAATTATGCTCAATGAATAAGCCAATTAAGTTTATGATGTTTCTATGTGGAAAATTAGATAATTTAATATTTGTCTGTATTTCTGGAACAATATCTTCCTATTTAATCAACATGATATATACAAATTTATACATGGTTCCTTCAAAAATTTTGGCAACTTTTCTGTAATTAGTATTACTTTCTCTACAAATTACAATCTTGAAATCTATATTTTAATTACTTTGCATTATTTATTCTCTTTTAATACTCTTTCGATCACATATTTCTAGTAGAAATGCTACTCTTGATTTGTAGTGAATAATTTAGTTGAAAATAACGATTTAGTATTGAAGGTTTTAACTTCTGAAGAGTTATAGTTTTTTTAATTAGAAGAATTTGAATAGCTAATTGATCTAGAAACATTTTTTATAATCAGGTACCTATTCTCTGTTTATTATGTTACTCGCTTGCTTTAATGGTACTTAAATATTGATCCAATTTCTTCCTGAAATAAATTATATAATAAAATACTGAAGACATTTGAGTTTTCTTTTAAGGCATCTTTTTAGCTTCATTAGATTAAAACCGAGGTTGAAGATTGAGATTTTAGTTATCCATAGTTTTAATTTAAAATTCGATAAAATTTAATATAAAATACATAAATAAAGTAGATTTGATAAGAAAAACCACTCAATCAAACCCAATTTAATGTATAAATTATAATTAAATAAATTTAAATCATATTTACAAGTATATTATAGGAAACTGAGAATAATCGATGGAATATTATATAAAAACTTAATTAAATCAATATTTACTTTTTAATTAATAAGTAAGGTTCAAACTGATTTTCTTATCTCCAATATTAAATGATTTTTAGAGAATTTACATACAAAAATAAATTCAGCTAATTATTAATTTTGATTTTTAATAGATTGAAGCTTAAATAGTATTCATGTTATTAAATAAAATTTTATTAAATATTAATCGTATTTCTAATTTTGCTTAAAAAATAAAAATTCCATTTATAAAAGTAAAATTAAGTAATAAAAATTATACATATTTAAATAGAATGATTTATGTTTCTTATTAAGCTTATAATCCAAAAAATCTAAATATTTTGAATTAATGAATATTTAATAAATCATTAACTTAACAATTTTTCTATTTATGCAGTCATTTCATTAGGTTTTTGAGTTGGTTGAAAAAAAGCAACTACATTACCTTGTCCATCAAGCAAAAACTTTCCAAAGTTCCAAGGAACCTAACGAGCTTATGATTCACTAACTCTTAAGTTATTTGAATTTAATCTCAAATATTAATATAATTCATGAGTATTTGGTCCATTTACTTCTATTTTTCTAAATATATTTAAATATTTTACTAAAATAATGGAAATGACACTCCATATTTTTAGATAACATATTATTTAATTTCAGGTTCTGGTTTAGATTCTTAATTCATAAATTAATTACAAGGAAAACCTAAGATTTCTAATCCTTAAGAGCTTTTTATTATAATGAAGATATTACCTATATTTATTATATAATTAAACTAATTCACTGTAATTACTAGATGTTAAACCACATGAGCATGCAACATTAACACAAATAATAGCTTTTTTTCCTTTGAAATTTGATAAAGGTGTGTCTACTCCCTCAATGTCCTTCATTTGAAATTCAAAAAATTATTTTTTTGGTGGTTGTAAGTTGTCTACGGCACTCTTAAAAAATAAGCAGCCCATAAAAAATATTAATAAATACTTTTATAATTAAGACAATAAGAATATTCTTCATTTGATCAAATAAATAAAAAACAATGACTTTATTATTAATCAAATGCAATTCCTTTTCACTAATATCTTAAAAAGAAATAATATATAAAATAATATTTCAATAATTATGTACCCTATTTATAATTATTGCTAAAAAAATTAGAACAATAATTATAACAAATTTACTTGTTCTAGATACATAACTTCACTTATTGGATCTATTTTAATCATTCTAATATCGACATATTATTGCTTTAAAACATATAGAAATGCAAATAAGTGTGTTTATGAATTAATACCAATGATGCTTTGTATTTTTTAAGGATTGATTCATGTAATTTAGTTTTCAATACTAAATGAAAATCATTTAACTTTATTGGGAAACTTAACATAAATAATAACTTTTTCATTAGTTGGGTTCACATTTTCTTTAGTTTTTAAGAAATTATCTACAGATGATAGTATTATATAAAATTAATTTAATAGTTAAATTTACTATTTTTAAAAGGAGAAAGATCTAGATTAAAGAAATATTATACTTAATTATCTTTGTATTATAACTAATTTGTATTTGCCTAACAAAAACCAATGTTTGCAATATGTATAAGTTGGATTCTAAATAGTTATTTTTATATAATGATAATTCTAACCATAATTGATGTATTGATAACTATGTTTATAATAATCTATTATGGTAGAAAATTAAAGAGAGTTTTGGATTATGTAAAATAAAGATTCTCTTTAAATAAAAATGAAAACAACCAGCAAGGTATCCAAAGTCCTTTTTTTGAAGCAGATCTACCTAATGAAAAGATTCATTAGATATAGATGGTAGTGTATTCAATAACATTTAATACAATATTGTACATAATAATAATTTTAATACTTTTTTTGAGTGATAAAAATTTATTATGTAATTTTGAATAAGATGACAAGTTGGATGTAAAAAATAATATTCTGATTTTTATATTTACAGCAACATAATTATTTCCATGTTTTATGGTTCCATATGCATTCAACTATAGATTAAAAGATAATGCAAATAAGTAATCTAATATTGATATATTATAAGTGATGATGGATTAGAATTTACAAGAGATCGAAGTTCATCATCTAAATTTCAAATAGATGAAAGTAACGATTATTTTGTATAAAGATTGACTAAAGGGAGAGTTAAATAAGATGCTGATTGAATTGAAATTATAAAATAATATCATAATTTAATTATTATATGGGATAAACATAGACAAGTGTAGTTATTAAATAAAATGCTCTCTATTTAACTTAAAAAAATACAAACAGGAGATTAATCAATAAAGCTACGGAAATTAATAAATGTTTAAGTTTAACATTAATGCTTGATTAATTATCATTTGAGTCTAGTACTTTGAGTAATAAAGTATCAACTATTACAATAAATCCATTATCTTATGAACCTTTTGTATTAGAATTACTTAAAAAAGAAAATATATTCCTTGCATAATCCTAGATTATTTATTAATATGAAGTTATTAGAAATGAACATCATTAAAATTTATTATTTAACATTTCTCCTGAAGTTAAAATCAAGAGAAAAGATAATTTAAATTAACAGGCTTATAATGAATAAACATTAACAATTGATGATTATGATATTGCCAATAAATTAGAATCAAATTAAATAAAAAAAATAAAACCACTTCAATTAGATATTTTCAATATAAACCTAGATTAATAAAAAGAGGTTTCCTTTTAATCCTAAAGGTAACTTTAAAATTAATTTGAAATATAAAATGCATATGTATAATAAAAACAAAAAACTGAAAATTTTTCTGATGATGAAATTCAAGAAAATAATTCACTATCTATTAGTTAAAATTTTGCAGAATTTTAAAAAAACCAAGGTTATATTGATGAAAAATCATATTTGTAAAATAACAAATTTTGGTCCTCTGATCATTCTTCAACATTTATTGATTTTCAAATAATTAATCAAAACATAAGCTCTTAATATAATAATCAATATTAATAATAAATAGATACTCCAGAATCTGATTAAAAGTTATAATAAGTAAAATAAATATAATAATAAAATCCAAATTAACGAATAACAAATTAATAATCTTTTGGAACTATTAAGACATTAAATTATAACTAATAGCCTTAGATATCTCACTTAACTACATCTCCTTCAGTTTTTTCATAAAATAAATTATTAAAACAACAATAAATTTAAAATAACCAATTCCTTTAACAATTTCCTCTTGAATAAAATTAAAATTTAGGATATACTCAATTATATTCAAATAAAAAATTGAATTCTGCAAATCAATAAATTAATACAATGACTCCAATTCATTAATCATAAAATAATAATATTGTCTAATCTAATTAATTTCCTGTATCTTAATAGATTAAATAATAATAATAGATCAAATAATCTAATTTTAATCATTCAGCTTCACCATAAGCTTAAATGTAATTATAATAAGGATAACAAAAAGAATCAATGAGATAATAATTTGATAGATTATTAAGAGAGAACAAAGAATAAAAATTATAATAAAAATCTCTCAAAAACGATAATTTATAAAATGTAAAATCTTCAAGAAAACCAGAAAATAATAAAAATTAAAACTAAAATGTTAAAAAATAAATTATACATAGTCCTACAAATGATAAAATTCCAAAAAAATAAAAGATGATCAACAGTTAATCCCCATTACAAAATAAACTTTATTAATAATAAGCTTTCATTAATAATGGAATTGGCTATGTAGAAATGAATAATATAAAAAAGAAATATCATAGATCTCCTGAGTAACCCTTTTAAAATTTAAAGGATTAGAAATAAATTTAACATAAAATTTAAGAGAAATAAAAGAATAATTTAAATTAATTAAACTTGAAAATTTAAAACTTACCTATTTTTAATTAATGTCTCGAAGAAAAAAGTGAAAGATTAAAAGGTTAAAAAAAATAAGATGTTTCTAATTTATAAACAGCTATGACTTAAAATATTTCTCCCTCTGAGAGAGAAGTAAAAAATAGACCAATAATTAAAGATGGAATCAATTTAAATGATCATTCTGAAGATGAATAAAGCTCTATCAATTTGGAAGAACTAGCAAGCTATCGTGAGAGTTAAAAATTAAATTTAAGGAAACTTTCTGATTGATCAAAATTTTTTGATCATATTTTTATAATTTTTTTATATACTTTCAATTTATTTCTTATTTAAACCAAAATAATTACTATAATTAGATAAATATTATGTTTAAAAAGTTTTAACTCTAAAAATATTATGAAGTACTAACAATCTATTTAGAAATCAAATAAATAATTAATTTTGAGAATAAATAATGATCTGTGTAAAATTTATGAATTATATATATATCTATTGAAATTCTTAATTTCTAAAAATAATATTTTTTATTTAGAAAATCAAATTGCTTGATAAATATAATAAATAAGAAATTTAGATTATAAAAAATGATTAATTGAAATAAAATATAATGTTCATGTTTGGTTTTGAAATTATTTTTTATTTTTATACATATTTAATATTCAAAAAAACTCAGGATACTATTTTTAGAAATATTTATCAATGTCAATTATTTTCCAAGAAGGATTGTTCCCTATAAACATTTTTTTTTCATCGAATTACATAGCTAATTTCAAATTCTAAAAAAATCCTTATGGTTCAGTTTCACTTTTAAGTACCATGAATCTTACATGATGATAATTATCAGGTTCATACTTATCAATTTTTCAATATAAATACTTATTAGCCTGATATTATTAAGCTTACTTTAGATTTTATTAATGCTCCTATTGACATGCTAACAATTGTTTCACCTTCGTTTTAATATAATGCAGTCACTTTAGGAAAATTTTTGGATTTATTTATTAAAATTTCCTAGACTTTTCAAGTATTTTTACATGTTCATATAAAGAAATATTTCGATTTAGATTTACAAAAATATTCATATCTGTAAAGCAAATTTTTTCCTCTGTTTCATCATCAACGACTTTTTCTAATTTTAAGTCGTCATTTTAAATTCTTTAAAGTCCTTCAATAAAAGAATTTGCTAATTATATATCACAAACTTCTTTAGCAAAATAATTAAAATCATCATCTTAAATAGAGTCAATAAAACTATTAAATGCAAAAATAAATTAATCTTCTTAGATCTCCATATTTTTTAATTTTTCTTATATTATTTCATGATGTTGAAGATACTTTTATATATTTTTATATCCTTTAGGATTATATGGCAGAATAGAGCTTGAAAAATAATTTTTCAAGTTAAAACAAAATTTGATCATTTAGGTTTATTGTTTTTTTAATAAAAAATTATCTATATATATATATTATTATCAAAATAAAATTTGAAAATAAGATGATGGTAAAAAATTGATTTCATTCATCAATTTCATTTATTGTTGGATTCCAATTTATGTCAGTTTTATTTTTAGTTTTATTAATAAATTCTGGATCATATTAATTTAAAGGATATTGCACAACATTTTTTTTTACAATTGATTTTTTTGAATTTATTTTATTTTTAATAGATTCAACTAAATTTTTAAATACTTTTATTAAATCTGCAATTTGATTTGATGCTTCAATATGTTTAATTTCATTTAAAATTTCATTAGAAATATTTTTTTTAGTAAGATTATTGGACATATATCTAGAAATATTAACTAATTTGTTTAAAGGTCTGCTTATTCTAACAGAAATTAAATATGTGAAGATGAAAACTAATGATATTGTTAAAATTGTTGAAGATATATTTATAAACATTATGACTGTGTCTTCTCTTTACATAATATCATTTATTAAAGTAAAAGTTGTGAGTAATTGTTCATTGAAAATATACAAATAAACATAAAAATCTATATTTTAATTTGTATTATTAATAAAAGAACTTAATTAATATGAGTTATACTTTCCTGAGAAAGGTAACTAAATTAAACTGTAAGTTTGATTTTATAAATCTATGAGGTTAATTTATTTTATAGGTATTCTAGTAATATTAAAGCCAGATATATTAGAATAATCATATATTTTTTGGATTGATGTTTAATAACTTACATTCCAATCAATTGGACAATAAATTAAACTACCACTCTAATCAGCTATTGCCAATATAGTAGATTAATAATAATTAATATCAAAAAATAAAGATTCTATTGATTATAATGAAAACTCAATTGTAAAAACTTAAATGATATTATCAAATTATTACATATTGAAAAATCTTAAAATGTAATTTATTACTATAAACTCATCAGAATTTATTATTCATTAGTTGGATTAATATAAGGCCCTTATAATTAAATTTATTTATGTTTTTTCTTATTCATAAAATATTTTTTAATTTAATTAGCTGGATAAATCATATAGATTTCAACTTATTCAACAGGGTTGTATATCAAAATAGAAAATCTCTAGTTTTAATTAACTTTATTACTTGAATTTTCTGTCTGACAGATTCTACAAAAATAAATGGAAGGAAATTTTTGTAATTTGTTAAATATCCTATTATTTTTTAAGTTTATTGATTTAAATTATAAAGCTATTTTGTATTTTATTGAGCATAAAAGCATACTTCTAAATAATTTTATTATGTTAAAATCTCACATGTTTAATAAGAATTAAAAGATTCAAATTGCATTAATGGATTGAACAATTATGAAAAAAATTAAACAGTAGTTTACAATTATTATGACAAATAGTATAAATGAGATTAAAAAACAATTCCTACTTAATTTGCTACTTAATAAAATTAATTATTTGAATGAGTTTCAACATTACTAAAAATTTATGAATTTGTTTAGTTAATCATAAATCCAATATTTCCAAAAATTACACTTATCAATATAAATTGAATTAATATTGTAGTGCATAAAAAAGAAAACATTAATTATCTTCTTATTGGCCATTCACGATAATTGCATCTTTTATTTATTTTTATTTTATTTTTCATTTATATTAAAATTTATTTTTTTGTTTTACTCTCAAAAAAAGGATTTATTTTTTTTGAATTGTTATATTATATTTAAGAAAATAAACTTTAAAAAAAGAATAGTAAAAAAAGAAAATAATTAGATAATTATTAGTATTAATAAAAATTAAATATAAACAATTATGAATCTAAATTTAGAGGAAACAAATCATTCATCATCAATTTATTTACAATCAGTAAACTCCTTAAAAAATTCATTAAAATATTAAAATTTCATGAGTAAAACTAAACTAACAGTTAATGAAATAAAAAATATAATCAAATGGTATGATTTGAAACGAAATCAAAGAATAATTAGATAAGCAACATTACCTGATTAGAATAATGATTTTTAAAAATAAATCATTTAATAAGGAATAATTATTAATTAAATGCAACAACAAATTAATAAACAATTTATTGAAATGGAAAACTTAAAAAAAACTATTTATTAAAGAGGAAATGATAAATAGAATGGATTTCATTAAAAATCTAAATCTTCTAATGAAGATTTTTTGGATAAATAAATCCATTTCATGAATAAACAATAAAACATAAATTTTTAATAGATTGATGAGAATTTAGAAAACTAGATAAAGTCAATAATATCATAAGAATTTGATAAAATCTATAAATTATTATCCTAATAACTAAAAAGTGATATAAATGATATTATCTATTAAAACATTTAAGAATAGATTTTTTTAAGCAATAACAACTCTCCGAAACCAGAAACTTTAAGAAAATATTCATAAACAAAATAATAATCAGATGATTCTTAATAAAATATTAATGTTATTGTTGAATGTCTAAATGAATAAATTGATGAATATGTGAATAATAATTATAATTTTGATTAATTGAAAACAAAGCTGAAATGTTTGAAATTGAAATAAATAAATTTACTTTATGAAGATTTAAATTCTTAATGCAATTAAAATTAACTTAAAGACTATTTTATAGGTCCTGTATAATAACTAAAAGAATTATCTTATACTTTTAAAGAATCTAAGTTATTAGATTATGTCAATAAAGAACGGAAAACAAGAGTGGATAGTAATAATTTTTATGCTGTATTTGGATATTAATATTTGGATATTATATTAACACATGCAGATGATTAAAATTTCGAAACATTTATGGAAAACATTAAGGGAATTCCTTTTGATTTGTATAATCATTAATAAGAATATACAAAAGAAGAATAATAAGAATTAAAAGAGATATTTTGTTATCGATGTATTGAATTGAGATAGATTGAAATTTCATAAAGATCAAATGAACTATGGAATTAAGTTAGTAATATTAATAATTGTTTTTATGGATTAACTATGATATTCATTCGAAATTTAATATAATAAATAGTACAATCATCAGAATTAAATTAACATATAAATAAATAAGATTAAGAATAATTCTTTATAAAATTTTTAGAATGGAGTACTCCTTGTCCTGAAGCTGAATTTATAATGGAAATTTTATCACATGAATTAGAATTGTATTATATTAATTTATAAAATAGATGTATAATATTATTTTATTTAAAAGAAGAAAGATAGGAATTTTCACTAAGAATATTTGGAGATGAATAAAATTATTAACTTACTATTTTATAACATAGTAATGATTATTATTCTATTGGAATAAAAGATTAAAATTGAGAACCCATAATTTTTATAGAGATTTTGTGACTAATAATAAATTACTAATATTAAAAGTATAATTAATATATATATCAACTGATGATAAAAAAGTATAAAGTTATTTGAATTTTATATGTAACCAATATACTGCCTTCCTGCTGAATTTTTTTAAATTATATTAATAAAATTTATAAAAATGGCAACAGAATTAAGTTTCGAATATTTTACAACAGATTTGTATGTTATGGGTGATAATAAAGAATCTTAATGTGGAATAGATAATTAGGATTATGTTTCTAAATTAACTAAAATAAATTTACCAATGGTAATAAGAGAAATAGCCTGTGGATTAGAACATACTTTAATAGTAACAAGTATTTTAATATCAATCATATTTAGATGAAGGATTAGTTTATGCTTTTGGTTCAAATTTAAAAGGATAACTAGGAGTTGAAAATATATCTGTTGCATGTTCTCCAATATAAGTTTAGGGAATAAACAATTTAAATTGTATTAAAATAGCAGCAGGAGAATATCATTCTTGTTTATTAACTGGTATTAATCATAGATTAATATAGAGATGAAAATTAAGCATATTAATGGGGTGATAATATTTTGAAACCTTAATTTATAAAGTAAGCATAAAATATTAAATGTGGTTTGAATTTTACAATCTTTTAAGATGACTCACTTTATTTGTATAAAAATTAAGTCTTATAAGCTTTACAAATTCATTCATAAATATCTGATTTTGCTTGTTCTGCATACAACTTATTCTACTTAGATAATAATAATAATTTGTATCTACATCCAGAAACTAAATTAATTGAAAATGTATCAAATATATTTAGTGGATATCATCTATCATTGTTGACTGAAGATAATAAATTATATTATTATTAAGATAAACAATTGATTCAAGTCAATATCTCAACAAACAAAATAGATAGTTCATTTAGTAAAGAGTTTGCTATTGTTTTGGATGAAGAAAATAAAGCTATAATAATCAACTTAAAAACTTAACAATAAAAAGAATAAGAAATTGTATTTCATGCTATAAGTTCTGGTGTAAATCATCTTATATTAATTGGAAATATTACTAGAGGATAAAAATAGGATGAAGAACAAGAAGAATAAGAATAAATTTAAGAAGATGAAGATGATTCTATTTTAGAATAAGATGGCATGAGTCCAATTATAAATAAAAAAATATAATAAGATGTAAATTATTCAATTATTTTTAGTAATTACAAAATACTTAATAAAATAATACTTTCTCTTTTTCTATTAGAAAAGAGATACAATTATTGCATAGCATAAAAACTAATAATAAAGAAACATAAACAGATGATGATATATATTACTAATTAAAATATGAAAATGAAGAATTAAGAAAAAAAGATTAATAACAAAAAAAGAATTTAGAAATGTAAATTCTATTTTAAAAGACATTATAAGAATAAATTAATAGATTAACTTAAGAAAATATCATTTTAAAATAGGGATAAGATAAAAATTAGTTATTAAATTTAATCAAATAAAAACAACAAAATTTAAAAAATTTAATTGATGAATTTTACAAAAAGTAAAGAGACTTCTTAGAATTAAAAAAATGAAAAGCTATCTTTATATATATATAAAATATATGATTCATAAGTTCTTTTTAAAAAACTCTTTAAATTCTTATAAAGACATTTAATCATGAAGTACTCCACAAAATTTTAAAACATCTATATATTATATTTTATATACTTTAAATTTCTTCTTCACTAGTGTTATCTTTAAATTTTGAGAAGATCTTTTTTATTTTTTTCGAATCGATTGTACCACTTTTATCAAAGTCAAAGACAGAGAAGGCACTTTCAAGTAATTCATCATGTTAATCTTTATTTGACATACATTCATTATATAACTCTTAAAAATCAGAAAAGTGCATAGTAGTTTTGTTATTTGGGAAATATCTATATATTTAAGTAATAAAATACTTTAATTCTGTAACAGAAACATAAGTAGGGGATTTGGGAGAAGAATCCTTTTACATTTCTTCAAAATTATCAGTAGAACTAATTTTTTTAACTAATTTTCTGCCATGTTAATATGGGACACTGATTTATTATTAATCTTAATTTATAGTTTCTAATTCTTTAATTAATGAATTTATCTATTAAATATTGATTTCATCAGAATTTTCTTATGAGAAGAGCTAAAATATTTATTTTAATTCTTATTAATTAGCTGATGATTATTGCATGGTGTATTATGAAAATAATTTAATTATTAAAAATATTAATAAATTGTTTGTTAATAATGTCGTTATTCTCAAATACAAACATGAGTCATGTTTTTACTTAGAATTAGAATAAGCTATATATTGGTAACATCCGAAGTCCTACAATCAATATGAGAGCAGTTTTATCTGTAATTGAAATACCAATAACGTTAAATACTAATCATTTTCATAAACAGATACCAGCAACTGATGATATTGAGTTTAAATTGAGTCGTTACTTTGATGAAGGAGCTGATTTTATCCATAATCATTTGAAATATGGTAATGTTTTAGTTCATTGTTATGCTGGTATATCTAGATCTGCATCTCTAGTGATTGCTTATTTAATTAAATATCACAATTACACTACCTAAACTGCAATTAAGTTTTTATAGAAATCTAGACCTATTATTGAACCAAATGATGGTATTTATTTCATTTAATTTTAGGATTTATTGCTTAACTGAAAGATTATGAAAATAGAGGCAAAACAGTCAAATCATATTTAATTAAAGAATCCAAATAAGAAACAAAAAATGAAATTAAACCATATCATAGATAAGTTAAATCATTTCTATCTCCCAGGATTAAAACTTTATTTTGAATTTTCATTTTACTTTTATTATATTATTTGAATAACTATCTTCAATTTTTATTTAATTATTATATTACATTTGTTAATGTAATCTAAAATCAAATATAAAGAAATTGTATTAAGTAAATTATATAAAATAATAACTAAATTAACATTCATAAGAGATTAACCCTAAAATATACAAATATACTGTTTACCAATCACTTATTTACATTTTAAATAATCATTCAAAAATTTGATAAAGAACCAATATAAACAAATACATAAAAAATCAATTAAAGAAAATTAGATACTAATTATTCTCTCAAAATATAAATTATAGTAAATTAGAAATATAATGAAAATGATATAGATAAACAATTTATGAAAATCAAAATCTAACAATTCCTTTAGATCAAAAGAGAACTAAATAATAAATTTCAAAAGTTCTATAGGCATTTAATTATCACAAAACGTAAGATAAGTATTAAATTTATAATTATATAAATATAATAATAAGAAAATTAAAAACATAAAATCTTAAGAGAAAAAAAATGATTGATGTATTAGAAAAGGAAATCAAGTATAAAGTAAATTGATTATATTAATTATTTGATATGAAGAGAACAAACTTAGAAATAGAGAATAATTAAATAGATAAATTAAAATGAAAAAAATAATTGAATTTTTCTGAATAAGCTCAATTTAAGAAATAAAACGCTTTAAATAATACATCAAAATAATTTTTTTATATTAGAAACTTTTAGTATGGATAGTAGAATGAATTAATTCAACATAAAAATATTTTTATTGTTTCTTGTCTGAACAACCAAATATTATATTAAGACTAATATTCGGTGAAAACAACAGAATCTGATTTTATTCTTTTGTTATAGCATATTATTATTGATAATAATAAGCTGGTAAATAAGAATAATAATTCGATAATAATAAAATATATAATTTTGTTCCTACTATAAAATAATTTTATGGGAACTATTCTAGTTTATTTGAAAAAATACTATATAATTAATTGTAATATTGATGATTTCTAATTCTGATATTGAAACAATAAATAAATTTATTCTTGAAGCCAATGGAACTATGGAAAACATATAGAAAGCTTTTGTGAGAAAATTTTAATAAGAATATGGACCTTATATATATTTTTATCAAGGCCTTTGAGATAATGTATGTGAAATAGATGATTAAATTTTTTAGATATTCACAAAAGGTTAAAGACTCTTAATTATTTATTTGTTAAATAATTCTGAATTGAGATAATGTTTAACAGATATATCAAGTTATAGTTAGAATTAATTTGAAAAAAAATTCATATAAGATCCATAACTTGTAAAGCATTATTTTAAGACTTATAAGATAGTATGCTGGCCTTACAATAAAGACCCTTTTAGAAGAATAAGATAAATTTATTACAAGTGATAAACAAATAAATAAAGAATAATAAGTGCCTTAAAATTCATCAAATAAAATGAGAAATTTAATATCTATAAATAATAATCCACCTCAGTATATATTTTAATAATAATTTAGTAAGTTGTAGCAGGATTAAACTTTGGAGAAGTGTTAAAATGGATTCGATATTGATTATTTAAGATTAATTCCAAATATTGTTTAGAATCGATATGATTGGATAGATTTTTATTAATTTAATAATATATAATGGGATTATTCATTATAAATAAATTATGATAAATTAAGTTAGATAAAGGAAATTATGTAAAAAGCTTAAATAGAATAATTATCAGAAGATGAATTGAAAGTATTAAATGTTAATAATTAAATTAGTAATTTCAAGATTATTTGAAGAAAGAAAATAATAATTTATTGATAAATAATGGATTGTTAAATTTTAATTTAAGTGATTTGATAGAAAAGAACTTAAATTTAGCCTTTTTTTTGTTTTGTAAATATTTTCCAAATGTAGAATTTTTAGAGTAATAATAATATAATAGAAATAGTTTGATGGATGGATTAGTGACAATTGATATAACACCAAATTCATTAGAAATAATGTGTATGATAATATAATAATATCATAAACCATAAGAATACTTGAATTATTATGTGAATTATTGTATATAATTCTGTTCAAATATTAAAGTAATTAAAAATTATAAGAAATAGGATAAAGGATCGTAAATAAAAATGATAAAATATTTGACAATATTTTTGAAACATCTAATAAATAAAAAAATGTTAAAGACTTAAGAATTATAGACAGAGGTATGATGAAATAATGATGAATTTAGTTGCAAGCATTTTCAATAGAATTTTCAAATATAGGAGAAACATCTAGTCTATTCAAATTGATAAAGAATGATTAATAATAATGATATGTATAATAAGATTATGTTGATTTTAAGAGTTTAGATAATGTTTTTTGATAATTCTGATTTTAAATTATTGAATAAATATAAAATACTAAATTATTAATGGATCAACCAATGGTAAGTCCAAGAAATGTAACAGAAGGACATGACGTATCTAATTTGATTACTTTTCGGTATTCAACAGATTAATATTGTACATTATTTATGATTAAAATGCAGTATTACCTTCATAAAGAAACTAAGGAATAAATACAATGAGATAAAAAATATAGGATTCTGATAGCAAAGCTATACTGGATGCTGGTTAAAATAATGAAGAAGAAGAACCATCAATAAGTTCATCTGAATCAGAGTAAAGTGTCAGTAAGAAGGGATCTGAGACTATGAAATTAGGATCTTAAAGTAAGGTTGAACATGCTGAAAGATAGTATAAAACTGAAGAATTGTCACCTGTAGATGGAGGATGGACTAATATTATTTGGAAAAGAGGATCGTTGAGAATTATGACATATGTTGTCAGATTTGTTATTTCTATTCTAATTAACTCAGAAAAAACTAAGTTCTCATTTATGAATCGAAAATAATTCAATGCCATTAATGATATTACAGGAATTTATCAATTTTATGAAGAGAATAAACTCATTAGATAGAGAATCAAAAAGAAATTCAAAGTAATCTTATGAATTAAATTTATAGCAAATTCTTAAATAATACATTTAAAAAAATATATGTTACAAAGTATTTAGAAATGGATTTGAAGCTCTACTTAATAAATGTCTTTTTGTTATAGATCCATCAAGTACTGTTAAAATATTATGGGATTTTTTTATGTTATTTGTGCTATCATGGTAAATGGTTTTTGTTCCTTTAAAAATTTGTTTTTTTATTGAAATACAAGATCCCATCTTAAATTTCATTTTAAATTACTTACCTGTTTATGTATATTTAATGGAAATTGTTTTGACATTTTTAACAGGCTTTTATGAACATGGAGTTTTAATTATGGATTAAAAATAAGTAGCTAAACACTATTTTAAAAAATCATTCCTTTATGATTTATTAAATGTATTGCCATTATTGGTAAGTGCATATTATGTTTAATCTAATTGGTTAGAATTTTCAGTTTTAATTAAAATTAAAACATTAAAGTTTTTATCGGATTAAATTGAAGAAGTATTTGGATTGAGAACTAATTATTAAACTTTAATTGATGTTTTAAGATTGATGATATAATTTATATTTTTGTCTCATTTATTTGGTTGTTTATGGCATTACGTAGGAATTCTCTAAGGAGAGTATGGGTAAGATGTACTTGAATAACTTGTAGAATTATGAATACATGGATAAACGCATTGGAGTTGAGAGATGAGAGTTGGTAGATCAGATATATCAACTCTATATATTGGAGTTCGATCACAACGTTGACTATTGGATATGGTGATATAACTCCGTAGAGTAGTGTTGAGAAGATATTTACAGTAGGAGTAGCTGTATTTAGTAGTGTTGTGTTTGCATATACAATTTCTAGTATTGGGTAAATATTCAGTCAATTAAATGAAAATAAAAAGAATCAGAGATACAAAATGAATCTGATTTAATAATTTATTGGTTAGAGAGGAGTAAATAAGTAATTACAAAATAAAGTCAAGAAATTCTTTGAATACTTTATTCAGATAGATCATTCATAAGATAGTGAATGTGAATTATTATTAAATTCTTTGGAGCCATCTTTAAAGAATGAATTGAAAATAGACATATATAAAAAATACATAATGAAATCTAAACTCTTTAAATCTACTTTTTCAGCAGAGTATAATTATTAATTTAAAGATTAGATTTTTAGATTGTCTTTGTTAATTGGTTTAAGAACGCTAATATACACCAGATGAATAGATTTGTGCAGCTGATAGTTATGTCGAAGAATTGTGTTTTATTTTGAAGGGGGAAATCTCCTTGTAAATTTAATTGAATAATTGTAATTAAACAATAACATTCATTATGTAGAATCTGGTAAATCACATTAAATTAGTCTCTTAAAAAAAAATCATATTTTAGGAGAAAGATTCTTTATTACAGGAGATAGATTGCCCTATGCAGGAAAAGCAATTTCAGCTGTACGAGTTGCCTTTATAAATAAAAATTAATTCTTTAATCTATTGAAATAGCACCCATAAGAATAAGAGAGATTTTTGGAAGCTAAAAATAAGGTTATTTTAAAAGAGAGAGTTAAAGTTTAAGGTTGTGAGCTATGCTATTAGAATCATTAAGTTTTGTAATGTCCATTTGTTTTTTATTATCCTAATGTTAGAGTAATTGTTAAAAGATAAGAAAACATAACATAAAAACGATAATTTAAAAAAAGATCCTATATAAAAAGCCATGTATATATTTATATATATATTATGTTTTTAGAAATCTCTATAAGATAGAGGTGGCATTTAATACTAGCTAATATCTTATGCTTTAGATAAAAATTTATTGCATGAAGAATCTCTTGATGAATCCTTAATTAAAAATATGGATTTATAGTTTATAGAACCTACAAAAAAATAATTAAATAAAATACATACTGATACTTCTGCTGATTAATAATAATTAGATTAATCTCATCCATTTTAAAATTAAACACCTTTACGTCCTAGTTGTGAATAATTTAGTGAAGATAGTGAAATTGGAACGAGTAAAACAAATAAAACTTCAAATAATGGATTATAAAAATTAATTACTATTAGATAAATCTCACAATAAAGTCAAAATTAATAAAACTAATAAAATTAACAAAAAAAATTAGATAAACTCAAATAGATGAGTTTCAAAATTAAAAAAAATGACTTTAGACCTCCTGAAATTGTAGAATTATAAAAAATTGAAGAAATTCAATCTTTTGAATCACCTTAGTGTTCTGCCCAAAAAACAAATTAATAATCTGTTTTCTTTCATCTTAATGAAAATCTTATAACAACAGAATTATAGATTAAAAGAATATTATGGGAAGAATATGTATAATCTCAAATAATTGAAGATAAAGAGAGATTCGATTAAAAAAAGGATTATTAATTGTTTTATCCAAATTGTAATTTAGATAAAGTTTTAGATTTAATTAATATTAAAGTCAATTAAAGAAAAAAGTAATAATAAAAATCAAGATTGACTACTCTAGGTAAGAATAGATTAGGTTAATTATAAAATATATCTGTAAGACCTAGAAAGAGTATGATAACAATAGATTAAGTATTTTCGTAAGAAGAAGATAGATAAAAAAGTCTAAAACTATGATAATTAAAAATTGATGTAAAACTATATTAAAATTATGATTAGATTTATAATAAATAATAAAACAATTATACCATCAAAAATCAAGTATCTAAATTGTCTGCATCATAGTTGTAAGATCCAAATTATTAATTCCATTTTAAATAATCTTTTAAGTCATTTTGATTTACTGTAGGTTTGACAATTTAAAGTGCTCTTTTAAAATCATCTATTGTAGTTGCTCTAATTTAATCTAATTTCAAATTTTTAATAGTATACATTTTAGCAGCATCTCTAATAGAATACATACAAGCCTACTTAATATTTATATTTAATTACTTCTCTACTTAGATTTCTGATATCAGCACCTGAATATCCTTTAGTTAATTCAACTAAAGTTGACAATTCAGAAGTGTTCATTTCAATTCTTTTTCCTTCTTTTGCTTCTTTAATAATTAAATTCTCAAAATATGATAATCTTCCCTCTTTATTAGGTAAAGGAATATAAATCTTTTTTTAGAATCTCCTTTTAATGGCATCATCCAATTCTTAAGGTCTATTAGTAGCCCCTATAAAAACAATTCTTTCACATCCTCCTCTTGTTGCTCCTTCTAATTAAACCATAAATTCTGTTTTAATTTATCTACTAGTTTCATTATCTTTTTCAGATCTAGCACACAATAAAGAATCAATTTCATCAAAAAATATAACACTAGGTTATCTTTAAGCAGCTAAAGCAAATAAAGCTCTAACAGTTTTTTCACCTTCCCCAACATATTTAGATGTTAATGTAGATGCTTTTATAGAAAAGAAAGTTGCTTTTCCTTCACTTGCTATAGCTTTACCTATCATGGTTTTTCCTGTTCCTGGGGGTCCAAATAATAATAATCCACTTCCTGGAGCTATTATACCTTCAAATAATTTGGGATTCTCTAAAGGCCATAATGCTATCTCTACTACTTAATCTCTTACATGATCTAAACCTACTATATCTGTCCATTATGTTGGCCTATCCATTATTTCTATTATATCAGATTCTATTTTATTTATTATATTATCTTCAAAATTAGTCTAATTTTATTATTTCTCATTTTTTAATTATATTTATTCCTATCTACCTTTATCACCTACCTTTGTTGGAGGCTGAAATCTTTTCTTTGGCATTAATTAATTTGCTTATACAAAACCCAATTATTATTATTAGTTTTATTATTAAGGTTATTAGATCTAATTTTAACACTATTAAGTTTATTAAACTTATTAAACTTAATCCATTTTTATATCTTACTTCTTTATGTTCCCTGGAATATTTAATTTTATATATTCAGATCTATTTGCTATAAATTATTTCATCTAAGAATAATTTATACATTTTAGATCTAAATGAACCTTCAAAAGGGATTGCTTATTTTTTTAATTTTTCAAAAATACTTCAGTCTATTCTTATATTATAGTAATTACTTTAATTACTTAAATTTAGAAAATTTTGATTTTTTGCTTCAAATTTAGTAATCATTTCAAAAAAAATAAATATTAATATATATTTACTATCAATTAAATAATTATTATTATTAAGATGTGAATTAGTAAAATGAATTATTCTCTTGGTATTAATTATTAAACTTCCAATCAATGAGATTCAGCTTTTCTTATTATCTTCTCTCTAAAATTATAATAGGAATTTAGCAGATCACTGGAACAGCCAAATTAGTTAGCAATCCATCCTTAATTATAAATAATTTATAATTACAGCAAATGCCTCTACTTATAAGATGTAACGATTATGAATAAACTACATTTTGACAGTTGCTTTTAAATCATTTGGAATTGTAATAGAACATTTTAATATTTCACTTCTCTTTCCTGAAGCAATCCCAGGTAAAATATTAGAATATAATATTTTATTTTCTATTTGTCTCTCATTTTCATCATCATCAGTAAAACTTAAAAAATGGTTTAATTTCACTTCCACTTTTGTTATTTATCTTTAAGATCTAGTACTATTTAATATATATTCTAATTCTAAAACCTCTCCAGGTTTATATAAATTTTTTGCAGTTCTGATCCTTAATTCAATCATCCCACGATGTATACAGAAGAACTAAACAATATTACCTTCACTTTCTCGCTTTTGCTCAATTTATTTATATCTACTATTGATATACACTGGTATACTATTTTATATTATCACTTAATTCGATTATGAATCACTTATTTTTAAGTAGATTTTATACTATATTTTAGCCTATTACTATCCTAAATTTATTAATCAAATTATACCATCAGATTTTTTATAACAAAAACTAGAATTCATACCAAACTTAGTAGGAACTTAAAACGGTAGTTTATAATCTCCACTTTAAATTTTTCCTCTATAGAGATCCTATATATGAGTGTAATCATCATTCACTCCATATTGTCTAGTAATTTAGAACATAGTTCCATTAAGTAATTCATATTTTTTCTTGGGATTAATTTACATTTTAAAATTTCTTGGAGAATCTAAAGTAATTTAAATTTGCTTATTTTTTTCCAATAACTTCTCTGGAATCATTTAAGGGTTATTTACATCAAATGGAATCAAATATTAAAATTTAATATTACTTATCGTTTATGTAATATTTTGGAATATTCAATTGCAACGAATATCAATTAAACATGAGCTTGCTGTATTTCATCAATTAACCTGACGTAACAGATTCCATCAATATTTTCCCCTGCACTTGACACTGGATTCTTAATCCAGAATAAAATTTGATTCGAAATCATTTTATACTAAAAGTATTAATTGATATTATTTATATATGAATTATAAGCTTTAAAATAATTCATTTTTAATTTTTATATGCCATAATCAACTATTTTGAATTAATTAAATTAACAGTTAATTAAATGAGCTACTCATAAGAGTTCTCTCCTTTATCTATGAAAGAGGAGATTTTTTTTAAAAATGAATCAGAATCTACATCATTAGAATAATAATTACAGATAGCTAATGAAAAAGTCATTTAACTTATGCAATATTAATAATAATTAAGGTATTTTTATCTTAGTATCTGAGTGAAGAACTAGAGCATTTACATTATAAATATAGAGAGACCTAATAAGAAAATGAAATACTTTCAAATTAATTACGCTAAGGGCCAGATGAAGCTAAATTTCTTAATTGTGTTCTTGATATGGTTCGTGTCTGTCATCCTTAAGATAAACCAATCACATTAAAATATGCATGGAAATGGTTAAAATATGTTGTCGATGATTATATTGAATTAAGAAAAAGAAATAAAAGTGCTAATACTTAAAGTGAAGTATTCAAAAATCCAAAAAAAAACTCTATTGTTGTTGGTGATTTATTAAGAAAGAATTGCCAGGTTGCAGAAAGTTAATATATCAAAAATTCTAAATGCCATAATTGATAGTTAATATATAATTTTTGTTGCTTATAAATTAACAAAGCATAAAATATTTTAAATAAATAAATTAATTATTTACATGGGCAATTTGTTTGGTAAAAGTGATAAGCAAAAAAAACAATAAAAATAACAACAATCATCTTATCCAACCAAATCTTCATTTCCATCATAAAAGAAGGAATTAAGTGAGGGTGAAAAAATGAGAATGAAATTGTAACATCACAGAGATGAATTAAGAAACAAAAGAAAACAAATTGATTTATAAATTGAAACCTATGAAAAAGAAATAAAAGTATAATCATGTTGATTTATTATAGACATTAATCTAAAATAATAAAAAAGATTAGGCTAAGTTTGTATTATAAAGAAAATTGTTGTATGACAAGTTTCTTGATAATATTATGGAGAAAGAACAAATTATAGAAAAATCTATTATCTCTGTAGATTAAATGCAATCTGTAATATTGATTTAATCAATAGGATAAAGAAATGGCAGATATTATTAATTAAACAAATGATGTTATGAAAGATATCTAAGCATCTATTGATTAAGATAAATTAAGAGATGCTTTTGCCGATATGTAAGAATAGTCATAGAAAAACGAAGAAATGAATTAAATGTATAAATAATATAAAGTTGGTGATGAAGATGAAATTAATGAATTATATGGAAAATATGAACAATAGATGTTTAATACCCAACCAAAATAATAAATTTAATAGAAGTAATTTGTTCCATTACAATAATAATAATAATAATAATAATCATAATAATAATAATAATAATAATAATAAAATGAATATTCAGATAAATTGGCGATGTTAGAATGATAATAATAATATATAAAAGAATAAATTATTTAAAATTTTCTTCAAGTCAATCGACTGTCATTATCTAGAAAAGAAATTATAGAATATAATTTTTTTTTCTATTAAATTAAAAGTATTATTTAGATCCAAATATATGATCAGGTAGAAATTATTTTGATAAAAAATGAATTATAATGAATCATCATAAGAGAACCTGAAATCTATTTAGGATGTAATTAAATTTTAGGAATAAATTTATTTAAATAATAATAATACAATAAATAAATTGAGATTAAAAATAAAAGATGAATTAAATCAAGAAAATGAAAGCATAGAAAAAAAAGATTTGAAATTAATTGAAAATCAAATCAAATAAGAAATAATAAATTTATTTTAAAGATAGAATATAATATTTTATATTGAGTATAAATGCTATAAAAAGTTTATTAAGAAAGCTTATGATTATATAAATAATATTATTTTTTTTTTAATTATGAAAATAGAAGTTCATATAAAAGATAAATAATTTGCAATAAATTGTGGAGATGGGTTACAGAAAGTGAAATGGTTGGGAGATGTAGCAATATTTCGACATAGTCATTTCTATTCATAAATAAACTCAACAACCAAAGGAATAAAATTAGAAAATGGAGAAATGGTTGATTTGAATGCTATAATAAGTAGTACTTTAGCAGAGAATACTCATGTTTGGGTTGTATTAAAAGG